CTAGCTTAGCCCAGCATAACATAAGCAGTCATATGTGATGCACATGATTAGTCCATAAGTTATGGGTTGGCCAAGCCTAATGTGATGCATGCACAATCATGTATAGTGCATATGACCAAGGCTAGCCCAACCTAGCTTAGTATTATACAATTTAGCTCATTACCCTCATTTTATTTGATTTAGGGCTAAACATCGAATAGTTTAGATCGATTCAAAATTATTTGAATTTAATTTGAGTTATTCAAGTTTGTTTAACATAAATTAAACCAAATTTGGTACAAATTATATCAATTTAAAATGGTTCCAAACTAGTTAAATTAGAATTAAAGATCGATTCAATTATATTCTAATTAAATTAATTTTAATTGGATCAATTGAACTAGGATCTAAGTTAATTAATGGTTAATTGATATTATTTGACATTAATGATATTTAAAAGAAATATTTTAATATATTATTTCATCTTGATATAGATATAATCAATATGAGATGATGTTATTTCTCTATCGAAAGTAAGTAAATTCCCTTTGGGGATTAGTGAGTCATTAGATGTGACAACTAGATAGATCCTCCATTTATTATTGGGAGAAACATGTTCGACTATGACTGCCATAAGATAGCACTGGCACGACTTCCTCGTATTGCTTCTTTGCTCTTCAATACCAGCCCTCGTCAAAAATTTTATTACCTTATGGTAGATTGACATTACTACCTTCGGCTTATTCAGGTGGTGGATAATAGCAGAATTACCTGTATCAATCATGACTCTTTTCACTCGTATGGATATATGCTTATGAGTGTTACCTAACTATTACTAAAAAGATGTTAATAGTACTTTGTCTTTATTTTTGGAGAAAAATCTAAGAAACCAATATTCAAGAATATCCTTGTTGTACAAGATTTTTCAAATGTTTTTTCTAAAGATATGCTTGGACTCAAGAAAAGATCAATTTATAATTGATCTTCTACCTGATACTACACCTATTTCTAAACTCCCTTAAAGAAAAGCATTAATTGAGTTGAAGGAGTTAAAAAAATAGATCTAAAGAGTTAAATGAGAATTAAATATCAGTTTAGCTAGATTCTAGTTAAATTGAGTTTAATTGGATTAATTAAACTAGGATTGAAATCAATTGAGGGCTAATTAATATTATTTTATATTAATGATATTTGAAAAAAATATTTTAATATATTATTTCATCCTAATATAGATATGCCTAGTATAAGATGATGTTGTTTTCCTACCAAGGGTAAGTAGAGCGATTTCCTTCGAGGATTAGCGGGCCGTCAAATGTGGCGGGTGGACAATTCCTCCATCAATTGTTGGGATAAATGTATTTCCACTTTAGCAGGTGACGAACACCATAACATGCATTGTTAGGAGTGCAATATGGGTTTATTTTCGTCCGTTGTTGGGTAAGCACAAACTAATTTCAGGATAAAATCTCTTCATCCACTATTGAGGGAGTGTTCCTTCGGATATTTGATATATGCTAGTGGGATGATTGTCTTTTGGTCATGTTTTTATTTTATAATTGACTTATAAAGGATCCTACTCAACGTTGCTACAATTTCTTTATTTTTTATTTTCAGAGCAGCCTCTTAGTAATAATAGATCAGATTCCAATGAAACTTATGATCTTCATTTATCGAAAAGTTGAGTCAATTGGATTTATTTTCGAGTTAACACTATTATGTTTCTTAATAAACTATTTTTGACCAATAATTTGATGAATAAATAAATTATAATAAATATTTAAATATTATACATATTAATAAAGTGATATTCATTTATTTGGTTTAGAATATAAGATGTTATGATCCCATAAAAACAAAAAAATTCAAGATCTAACAGTTTATCTTCGTTGTATTAACCTTAGGGTCGAGGCAGATTATCGCTGCTTTTATCTTGGTCATTTGTATGTTTTCTCATGTTTGCCTGAAACTATTACCTCAGCGATGATGTATTAATTGGACTTCTAGAGTGCCTCGGGTATCGTCACTAGTGGCTTATTTACCAATGACCAGAAAAGCGAGAGGGTTTGAATCCCATCATTGGTGAGTGTTTCCTTCTCCCTTTACTTAAGTTCAAGAAGCGTTATCATCAATCGCTTCAGGCGTATACTCATGAGAAAGTAAAGCTTGAATTCGCTAGTAAGCTAAGCAATTGAACTAATAGAGAGTGGCTTCAAACACATCAGGACATTCGAAATATTATATAATAACATTTGGGCACAAAAAACAATAGATATGCTTTAGTAGGTCAATACCACAGTCAAAAGCTTCCAATGATAAGAGGTAGAAGTTGGCCAAAATCAGCTCCTCTTGGATGTCCTCGATGAATAGCAACCAACCTGAGATGGTGCTGGCTAGCCCTTCCCCTTTGAATTATTGGAATTCTCATCACATGTCCTACAAACATTGGTCCATTTTCTATAGTTGAATCCTCAAGAAATCATCCATCAAATCTATCGACTATGTTTGAGATTCAAGTGGAGCATAATGGTGATATAGTGGTCGATTGAAATCTTTGGTTAAGGAGTGGAGTGCTCCCTCGACCAATAATTCAATGGACCTCAAGCGCTCTTGAGATGTTGATATTGCATCGGGTGCTAGTGGTGGTTAAGCTACCAATCACGATGTCACTTATTGGGCTAGCTAGGATAAGAGTGGAGCAATAGCTTGCATCATATTCATTAGCATATGCACATATTAGGTGAGATTTATGAACGCCACAGTGGGGACAAGTAGATGACTTAGGGTCGCCCCTTGATCATTGAACGAATGCTAGTATCATGTCGGTGTTTGCGTCGAGGTGGATGCATCTATGTGGAGAGATTGGTCGGTGCCCTCTTTGAATGAAAGTACTATAGGTCAAGGGCATGGCCTCCTTTCTTGAGCATTCATTTGGAGGGTTGGCAGGCAGATGTTTTTACGACATTGGGCCCTTCTTCTAGCATAAAAATGTTAAAGGAAAAAGTCATTGATGTCTTAGTCAGCCCAATATAGTCTAGACTCATATACATAGGGTTGTCCGAGATACCTCTGAGGTGAAAATATTGAGCTTTCGAGGTTTCATTTGCACGAAGATCGAGGTTGAAAAAGATTTCTTAACCCGATCCCTCCGACGTCAAGTTAATAACTTGAGGTGTGCGAGTATAAACATGAGTGGTCAAGCAAAGTCTCCTTTTATCACGATCAATATGACTATTTATAACCAGTTATAAAGGATAAGAAAGATTATTTTTCTAATCATAGAAAGCAAGAAGAAAGTATGCAATTATCTTTGGTCATAAAGGATAAAAAGAAGCTTGAAATTACCGGCATTAGATCTTCGTCCACGTGGGTAGATTAACCGATAATGTATTCTTTATCGTTTTATATAGCAAATTCAAAGAAGAGCGGCATTTGGAACTCTTTAGTGTTTCTTATGTTTGACTCAATTGATTATAAACAAAACTTCTTTATGTTTATTAATTAAACTTATAAAATAGGTTTTTAGCTTTTATTTACTATCACTATTATATGGATAAGATTAGCATCAATTTTTTTCGATGATTTACTTTTTATTTATTTTTCATTTTCTTTTGTTTGTTTTTATTAACTCATAAGGATAATGATATCGAAAAGATTACCTTGATATTTTTTTTGGGTGATTTACTTTTTATTTATTTTTCTTCTTTGTTTATATATATATTTATTTATATTTCTATAAACATTGAGAGTTGGAAGTAAAAGTCTGGTTCAAATAAATTTTCTTTACATTAAAGAAAAAGGGTGGGATTCATTTTGATAAATTAAAAAAAAGTAAAACAATGAGCTTGGCATTGCAAAACCACTGTCTTTTTTTAATGGTTAAACGAGCTTAACCAATGAATAACCAATTACAAGGTTGCGTTATTTGACTATGACTTGAACCTATACAAACTCAGCTAAAATTAATGTTAGTCTTACACAAGCCTTTGGTCAACACAAATGGCCATGTTCTATTTGATAAACTTATGTCAGCCTAAGACTTTTCCAAGGTGTTATAACTCCATAAAATGACCATCTTACTTGTGCTAGACACACACAATTATAAGTTTAGCTTCTCACTTTGCAAAATGAAATATTTATTCTTCTTATGTTTGCCATTTCCTCGTATCATTGCCTTTGAAATTGAATGCATTTTAGGCTAAGTTGGGCAGTCATGTACTGTGATGGATACTCGTTAGTGAGTGATGGCTATGAAATGTCACATCATTTCATTAAATAGAAAAAGGTATTAATGGCATCATTAATCCCTATAAAATAGTCACGTTATACCGCAATTAATTACATTGTGGCAATCTACTCTCCCATTCAAACCACAATAGTCTTGATGAGTTCAAGAATATGATCTTAATATCTTGGATACTTTTTATCTTATATCATGCATGTGATGGTAAGATGTTGAACGAACAATCGAAAGCATTAACGTTTAAGTTGACTTTAACTATTAACAATAAGTTCTTTACATCGAATCTCGCCTTTGACAAAATTGTGACTCTCCTCCAAACATCAGACTCTTCCAAAGCTCAACCCTTCTTACGAGTTGACATGTGTGTTTGAATATCACATTATCATATTTAACATGTGTATACTTCAATATTATATTATCATCAATTTGGATACCTTATTATTTGACATGTCTACTGAATAAATGATGTGATATGATGCTAATTATAATACTTGATGGTTCATCCATTCTTGTCAAAGTAACACTCATTTACTTTTGTTAATGATCAGAAACCACTACTACAGAGGGCTTAAGGACACTCCTACTTTAATGAAGAGAGAGAATACTTAGCTCTAAGCTCTTCGAATTTGAATATAATCTCGACAATTTTGGAACCACTAGTGCAATTGATTGTACCGATGGATCCCACTAGTGGGTCCCCTTTTTGTCACTTCCATTTCCAATACTAAGGCTGGTGACTCGGCGGGGAAGTCGAGGATTTGCGATTAGAGTTCTTTTTCTCGCTATAAGAACTTCGTGGACTACGTCCGGTCTTCTCCACTTCGGCTCTACTCTTGGCTTCTCTCTCCGCGCGATGCCGCCACTAAACAACCGCGCCGCCCTCACCCGCTTCGTCCCCTCGTCCATCCTCCTCCTCCTCGTCCTCCTCCTCGCCAGCTACCTCGACTTCTCCTCCCCCTTCCGCTCCTCCTCCTCCGCTGCCGCCTCTTTCGCCGCCGCCGCCAGGCCTATCCCCGACACCCCGGAGGCGCCAACCGCCAACCTCTCCTCCGCCGCCGCCAACGACAAACCGCCTGAGCCCTTCACCGACCTCGCCGCTGCCTTCGCGAGATGGGACGAGGAGGTCGGCTGCGACCGGTTCCGGGAGAAGCACCGCAACTGGACGGCCGACGCTTCGGCGATCCAGGACGCCGAGGCCGGCGACTGCTCGACGCTCGGGGCCAGGCACGTCAGCGTTCTGGTGAAGAGAGGGGGTTGGATTCCGGACGAGATGGATAACCTGTACTCCTGCCGCTGCGGGCTGACCTGCCTCTGGACCAAATCCGACACCCTCGCCGACAAGCCCGACGCCGAGCTCTTCGAGGGATGGATGCGACCTCCGCAGACGGTAAGCCATCAGACGTAGACTCGAGTGAACTCGTTTCTTTCTCCTTACACATTGAAATCTGTTCTTCGTGATATCTTCCTCTGTTACTCTCCGATCTAGAGAAGAAAAGGAGAACCCCTTCGCGCTTATCTCGACATCGAGGCCAGCAGGCAAAGAACAGGATTCGAAGACATATTTGTGGGGTATCATTCCAAGGATGATGTCCAGTGCACATATCCAGCGTCCATGTTTCGCAAATTCCGGAGCTACCGTGTCTCTCCTGTGAAAAGAAATGTAATCCATCTCTTCCGGCTTCCTTTGATCGCGATGCTTCAAACGTGTTCGACGGATTGAGATGATTAAGATCCTTTGTGAATCTCGTCAGGACACCCTCGTCTACTGGTCTTCCTCAAGGTGCTTCCAGTTTCGGAACGAACTCGCCGCCAATTTCTTCGCCAACATCTCCCACCACTCCTTCGGAGGGTGCTTGAACAGCGTAGGGGGAACTGATGCTGCGCTCGCCTTCTACCCCGAGTGCAAGACGGAGATGATGGCGGAGCCACACTGGTGGGATCATCTGCACTGTGCCATGTCGCACTACAAGTTCGTCCTGGCCATTGAGAACACCAAGACGGACAGCTACATCACCGAGAAGCTCTACTACGCACTCGACGCCGGCGCGGTGCCCATCTACTTTGGGGCGCCGGACGTGGACAGCTTCGTCCCGCCGCATTCCATCATCGATGGATCCAAGTTTGCGTCAATGGAGGAGCTGGCTTCGTACGTGAAGGCCGTGGGAGATGACCCCGTTGCCTACGCGGAGTACCATGCTTGGAGGAGGTGCGGCGTGATGGGGTACTACGGGAAGAACCGCGCCACCAACCTGGATGCGCTGCCGTGCCGGCTGTGCGAGCATGTGAGCAGGAAAGGTGGAAGAGAGGCTGCATGATGGCAGAGTGAGTTCTTCGGAGCCATGTCGTGCTCAGAGTTTGGAAGAAAGGTGTCGATCATGTTGGATTTCTGGCTGTTTACCGTTTTGCTCAATTGTGATGGGACGATCTGCTGTGATCGAATTCTGAAGCTATTTGTTGATTGGAATAAAAATAATAATCGTAAGATGATGTTCATCATACGAAACTTCAAATCTCTGACTCGCTTACCAAATCTATGGGCTCTTCTTTCCAGTAACATTAAATGGTAGATGAGAGAAACTGTACCAATCCCTAGATTTTGCACGTGATGAGGAGTTTGGAAAAACCATTAAATTAAGATAAATAAATACTTATATTGTTTCGAGTAAGTTTGGCACGTGCTGAGATTTACGTACGTATAATTAATATCGAGCCATATATAATGCTACTGAATCCACCATTTCACGTTTCCCGTGTGACGCTACCTTGAAAGCTACCTGCTATTTGACTTGAGGATATAGAGATTGTTTTCCTGCGGGACCCAACGTTCTCCCAATCATACAGAGGGTAGATAAACAAAGAGTAGCGGCTAAAAAAACAGATGAGTTGTCCGTAGACTAATGATACTGGGGAATATGGGTCAAACTCTTCGCGGTGTCTGCTCACCCCATTCCATGTCGCCGCTACGCCACCGCGCGCTCGCCCGCTTCCTCCCCTCCGCCTCCCTCCTCCTCCTCCTCTTCCTCTTCGTCACCAGCTACCTCGACTTCTCATCCCTCTCCTCCACCTCCTCCTCCTCCGCAATGGCCGTAGCCAGGCCAGTCCGCGATCCCGCCCTCCAGAGGCGGGCCGAGCCCCGCACCGACCTCGCGGCCGCCTTCGCGAGATGGGACGAGGAGGTTGGCTGCGATCGGTTCCGCGACAAGCACCGCAACTGGACAGCCGACCCGTCGGCGATCCAGGACGCCGAGGCAGGCGACTGCTCGACGCTCGGCGCCTCCCACATCAGCGTTCTGGTGAAGGGGTGGACTTGGATTCCCGACGAGACGGACAACCTGTACTCCTGCCGCTGCGGCATGACTTGTCTCTGGACCAAATCCGCCGCCCTCGCCGACAAGCCCGACGCCGTGTTCTTCGAGTGGAAAACGCCTCCAAAGACGGTAAGAAGAGACATGTATACATAGCAGAATGGAATCAGACTAGCTCTCACCTCTGTCGTCTACCCTGTTCTTAAAACAGAGGCGAAAGGGTGAACCACTTCGTGTTTACATGGATCTCGAAGCCAGCAGGCAACCAACAGGATCGGAAGACATATTTGTTGGATTCCATGCCAAGGATGATGTTCAATGCACATATGCTGGATCCATGTTCCATAAATTCCGGAGTTACTATGTCTCCTCCAAGAAAAGAAACGTAAGTCATCGCTTCCAACTCCACTGTCAGAGCTTTGACGCATATCCCCTCACCTTCATGATGAATCTTCTCAGGATGTTCTTGTTTACTGGTCTTCGTCGAAGTGCTACCAACACCGAACTGAACTTGCAGAAAAGTTCTTTGCTCACATCTCGCATCACTCCTTGGGAAGCTGCTTGAACAACGTAGGGGGCAGAGACGCCGCCATTTCCTTGTACCCCGAGTGCAGGATGGAGCTGACTGCCGAGCCACATTGGTGGGATCATCTGCACTGTGCCATGTCGCAGTACAAGTTCGTCCTCGCCATCGAGAACACCATGGCGGAGAGCTACGTCACCGAGAAGCTCTACTATGCTCTGGATGCTGGTTCGGTGCCGATCTACTTTGGGGCGCCGGACGTGCAAAGCTTCGTCCCTCCGCATTCCATCATAGATGGATCCAAGTTTAGGTCCATGGAAGAGCTGGCGACGTACGTGAAGGCTGTGGCAGATGACCCGGTGGCTTACTCGGAGTACCATGCTTGGAGGAGGTGTGGTGTGATGGGCTACTACGGGAGGAACCGTGCCGCCTCTCTTGATACGCTGCCGTGCCGGTTATGTGAGTACGTGAGCAGGAAAGGTGGAAGAGGTGCTGAATGATAGGATGCCCCGATGAATCCTCTAACAGATGGTAAAGATAGATGATAGAAACAGATATCACAAGTCAATCTTACGATTAGTATCTTATTTCATGTCTCAATTTTAATGATTCAGCTTAAACACCAATGCAGCTGCTGCTTAGAAGCTAGGAAGGTGAGGGTGAGATTTTAGTGACATAAATATAGATAGGCTAATGATACGAGTAATGTTCTTCTTCAACTGGTGGGGAGAGTTAGCAGGCTATGAAGGTTACATACTTGAACCACAGGAGGCAATGCAAGGAGGACAAATACAAGCATCATTGACCTTAGAGGATACATATGTAATTTCGTTTTATCCGACATAGAGGGAATAGTCTATTAGATATGTGCTCTATTAAAAATATTGAGACATAATCTCATAGTGGGGAGATAAAATACAGCTTGTGGATGCTCCCAAGTTGCCTTTGAGTGAATCTAACAAAACCTAATCTCTCATCAAATTGTTGGCACATGCCTTGTTTGGGAGGATTTGCATTGACCAGCTTTAGCTTGCCACTAAATCCGATGCTCATGAATGGTATAGAAAAGAAGAAGAAGAAGAAGAAGAAGAAGGTTGGTGATTAAGAAAAATAAAAGGAAAAAAAATAGTCTTTGCAAGTTCATACGTAGTTAATTCTAAATCCTATCTTGTACGATTCAAGTGTAGAATATGTTTCTTGACTTTGATGTGAGGTATTTACTTTCTTTCACTTTGAATATGACAAGTTACCAAAGCATATTGACACAAAAGATTAACATGTCACCCAAATATAATCACATGACCACACCATAAGCTTCGGTAGACTTTTGAGTACATGCATTTATGTGCAACATTTGAGTAGATTATAAGTTTCGATTGCGTAGTTCGTGGCTCCCAACTCACATGTTGAGTGGCCCCGCACCCATCTCGTCTGCCGCGCCATGCTCCCTTCTCTCAATATAATTATAATTATAATTATATATATCCGTATAAGTTAATTTTATATCAATAACTTTAAGTTAATTACTAGTTGGATTTTTAACTTATAATATATATATATATACACGCACTTAAAATAAAATAAGGAGACAAAATGAAGTATAACAGCAAACAACGGCCACTCTCCCTCCACTCTTCTCTCTTGGCCCGATGCCGCCGGTAAACAACCACGCCGTCCTTCGCTTCCTCCCCTCCTCCGTTCTCGTCCTCCTTGTCCTCCTCCTCACCACCTACGTTGACTTCTCCTCCCTCTCATCTCACTTCGGCTTCTCTTCCTCCTCCTTCGCTGCGGCCACCAGGACCATCGCCGACCCCGGCCCTGCCCCCGCCCCAGCCCTCGCCGACAACGTTGGGAGGCTCGCGGAGCCGCTCCCCGACACCACCCCTACCCCTGACCATCCGCCCGAGACCTTCACTGACCTCGCCGCCGCGTTCGCGAGATGGGACGAGGAGGTGGGCTGCGATCGGTTCCGGGAGAAGCACGGTTACAGTAACTGGACCGCGGACCCGTCGGCGATCCAGGACGCGGAGGCCGGCGACTGCTCAAGCCTCGGCGCCAGGCACGTCAGCATTCTGGTGAAGGGGTGGAGTTGGATCCCGGACGAGATGGATGATCTGTACTCGTGCCGGTGCGGGATGACCTGCCTCTGGACCAAATCCGAAGCCCTAGCCGACAAGCCCGACGCCGTGTTCTTCGAGTGGGATTCGCCTCCGAAGACGGTAAGACGTTTAAGGCGAACCACTTATGTATCCCCAATTCTCTACTACATCTTTGTTCTAATAACTCTCTTTTTGTTGCCGACAGAGGCAAAAGGGTGAACCGCTTCGAGTGTATATGGATATCGAACCCACTAGGAAACGATCAGGATATGAAGACATATTTGTTGGTTATCATGCCAAGGATGATGTGCAGTGCACATACCCTGCTTCCCTTATTCATAAATCCCGGAATTACCATGTCTCCTCTAAGAAACGAAGCGTAAGCTATCACTCCTCTTTTCCTGGAGTCACAAGTGGATATATTTGGATACTTAATGTGGTGTCTTTTGATATTATTGCTTTTTTCCAAATTGCATGAGTTATAATGTGTGTGAACTTTATTGTTCATCTCCATATAAGCTTGCTTCCTCTTTATTTACAAGAAGAAAAGATTACTATTTCATATTCTCATTTTAGACATGGTTCAAATTAAAATGTTTTACCAAACTAAATTTTATTTTTTCCTACAAGGACAAGTAGCACAAATGAAATTTGATCTCAAGATCTTACCATTATCACTCAAAATCTTGTTGCCAAATAAGCTAGTCATTATTTCGAATCTGATGGTGGTGTACAAATTCCAAATCTTATACTTAAAATATTGATTGATGGTGAGCTTCAAAATCACATCAAACAAATTTAAGCATTTTACTTCTATGTTTGAAAGAAACTTGGAAAATTCTTCTGCAATTTAAAATCCTGATTACTGAATGATAGAAATGACTACAAATATGCCTGAAATTAAGAACTTAGAGTTTTGATAATATCCCATTGACCATGTCAATCAAATGCAGTAATTGTCATGACTACGGCAGCGTGTGGTTTTATATAGATTGCTCTCTGAAAAATAGCAAAATGACTATATGTTATCTTTGCTCTTTTTTTACCTTCCAAATCTTCTCAGGACATCCTTGTCTACTGGTCTTCTTCGCGGTGTTTCCAGTTCCGAAACGAACTTGCTGAGAAGTTTTTTGCCCACATCTCCCATCATTCTTTTGGAGGTTGTGTGAATAATGTAGGGGGTAGTGATGCAGCACTTTCCTTCTACCCCGAGTGCAAAATGGAGCTGGTCGCCAAACAACACTGGTGGGGGCACGTACACTGTGCCATGTCGCATTACAAGTTTGTCCTCGCCATTGAAAACACCAAGACGGACAGCTACATCACCGAGAAGCTCTACTATGCTCTTGATGCTGGTGCAGTGCCCATCTACTTTGGGGCACCGGATGTCGAAAGCTTCGTCCCTCCGCATTCTATCATTGATGGATCCAAGTTTGACTCCATGGAAGCGCTGGCTTCGTATGTGAAGGCTGTGGCAGATGACCCCATTGCCTATGCAGAGTACCATGCTTGGAGGAGGTGCGGTGTGATGGGTTACTACAGGAAGAACCGTGCCACCAGCCTCGATGCGCTGCCGTGCCGGCTGTGCGAGTATGTGAGCCGGAAAGGCGGAAGAGATGCTGCGTGATGGCAAAGTAGGAACTTGTAAACATCAAATGATCAAGTCAATTTAGCTGTAAGGAAGTTTGGATGTTATGGCAATATTTACATGAATTCTATTCTTGAAATGTCAGCGTAATAATTGTAGTGGGAATTGAACCTGGTTATTCTTGAACTCAGAACTATTCCCTTCAATGATAAAACAATGAGATTGTCAAAACTATTCTGGATTTTAGATCTGTCTCAGACTACCATTTACCAAAACATCCTACACTGAATTTTCCAACAAATTCCCCAAAAATGACTAAATTAAACAAACACCAGATCAACACAAGCTACAGGTCTAAGCATCTAAACCTAAGAATATAAAGAAGTCCACCATGAAAGCATAACATCTTTTGCAACGACTACTACCACCACCAACACCGCTGAACTAAGATTTCAACTAGTCTAACTATATATGTAATGAGATTAAAAAAAATCACAATAATAATTAATCTATAAGCAATTGCATTGAAAACATCATAGCGTTACCATTCATAAAAGTACAGATCATTTTGCACATACCAAGCAGAACATAATGCACCAACAGGCTATCAACACTATGCAATGGCATGTGTAAGACCCATGTCCAAAAATATGTGGGAATGTGGCACGGGACTCATGCAGATGGGTGATTGGAATACTTGATACCTCCATGCCAACAACAAACCATAATGTCTGAACTATTTGGGGTGGAGCAAAACCGCTAGTCAAATTAAGAGTAATCTTTTTTTTTTTGGTTTTCAACAAAGTTTTCTAGGTTCTCTCCTCGTACAGTAAAATTGTAATTTATTCAACTCATCTAACTGGTGCATCTAAAGATCTTCTTTGGACATGTCCTGATGCAGTGCAGGTTGTTCTCATGATAAATAAGATTTCATGGAAGGATTGAACAAGATTTTAGGGCATCTAGTTAGGATAATATTACTACTAGTTGGAACTGTCTCCTCAATTTTGCATTAATTTATATCAGATTAGATGCTACCATAGCAAGCATGTAATTAGGCCTCTTGACAAAAAAATAAAAGTTCTTGTTGCATGGTTCACTATGAAAGTCATGGTTGATCATCTCCTACCAGTGTTCGATCCAATTCACGGAGGAGACAATGCCTCCTAACATGTATCAACAAACAAGAGACTAATTAAACTAATATAGTGTTCAAGTTAAAGTGTAATTTTGTCTAAATTCAAAGTTCTGGTGAAATACTTGTTCATTAAGGAGAGAAGGGGATGATAGACACCAAAGAGATCATGCAAGACAAATCTGGAAGTCTCCCTAAGGTTTATTTGAGACCACTTAGCAGTCTAGCAACGCCGATAACCATCCAAATACCTATCAAGGATTCAGCTAAATTTACGAAAACATTTGGTGAAGGATCAGCTATATAAATGAATCGGTGATTGCCTAACAACATCGCAGAATAGCCATATAAATGAATCGAAAAGACATTAAAATTCTGAAACAAGCAATCCTATATTGACGAATGCAGATTACCTTCATGTCAGATACGGGTACAAGAAGGGTCGAAGTCATCAGGCGCCACTCCACCGATCGGCGGCGTAAGGCCGCCTGGGGAGGCTGGGGGGAGAGGATAGGGTCGGGAGGTGGCGGCTGTTTGGGTGTCGCCGCGGCTGCCGTCGTCATCGGGTACTCCGCCAGCCATCTCAGGGAATAAGGAACGAGACGGAGATCGATTAACCGTTTTGGCGAAGCTTGTAACTTTTAAGGTTCGAAGAAAACTGGCGTTATATTCAATCATAACACCACCGTAAACCGTTACGGAGATCATATCATTTAATATAATCCGAAAGCTGTTACAACAGCTGTTATATTTACTAGAACATAATCTAACATCATGGAGTTTGCACGACCTGTTGACGATTGATCGAACGATACATAAGATCTGATATGAACATCTCACATCACTTGCTTGGACACTTCAACAAATTGATTTGGAGCCTCGAGTTGAGATGAATCCAACAAAAGTAAACTTCATTATATTTCAATCAAGCGAATCACAGTTCATCAGACATTGAGATCAGGTTAATGTTCTAATACACTCGAAGCTACCAAAGTTGGGACGGCGGACACAGGAACGATGACTTTCCAACGAAGAATGGTGTGAGAGAACGGTTGACATTTACGCAGTCCATGAAGCCGGCCTCTTCATGGGAGGCGCCTTCACCTTGTCCTCCTCCAGAGATATCATTCCAAGATGGGAAGGGTCCTCGAGCAGCATTTTAGCCACCAAATAAGCGGCGATTGACCACGTCTGAAACTTCCTGGCTTGCTTTCCGACGTACCTCCCAAGCTTCCCATCATAGTACTCCGGCCATCCATCCTTCGACAGCCTGTTCTCGGCAAGCTCGATCGCTCTTCTAGCAATCTGCGGCCTGCCGGTCTTGATGCAGGCTGCAGTGAGCAGCCATAGAAGCACTACAGTCAACAGCATCGCATGAACTCAGAGTTAGCTGCGGGTTTGATGATATAGCGTAAAAGAACCGAGAGAGAAAGAGAGAACTGCCACTAATTACCTGGCCAAGAACCTCCGTTGTGGTAGCTCCATCTGGTGTTTTTGGGATCACAACCTGTCACGATCCTCCATTCATGGCCTTCTAAAGCAGGATAAGATATCTTCAATGGCATTTCACCCACCAGTTCCTCCCACCTCTCTTCGATTAGGTCCATTATTGCGTCTGACTGCTCTGGTGTAGCAAGCGAAGACAGTATGGCAATGCAATTACCAAGAGCAAACCATCGGAAGTCCATTCTTGCAGGGCTCACATTGCCGACGAAGTAGCCACCACGGCAAGGCATGAAGTCAAATATCCAGTCCGGGATCGAATCAGGAATGACATTGAACTTGTTTACTGCTGTGTGGGAGTATTCTTCGGTCTTGTAGCGATATATATCGTTCAACTGTTGGAAGTCGAGCCAAAAGTAACGTCGCATGTGGTAACCCAAGGCATGCAAGCGCTTCATTATTCTCTCCATGAACTCCTTGCCTTTTGCATCAGATTTAAGCATCGCTAGAGCACATCTCAGTGCCATGAAGAACAGAGCTTGGATTTCGATGGGGTAGCCATAAACACCCTGTAAATTTTGTTTGCACCACACACACAATCATTATACGAGGAAGAGAACTGCAAACTAAGAACAACATGTCGACAAACTTACCATTCTACGATCAATCATTGAGCATCCATCGGCACAAAGCAAGGTGGGAAATGTGTCGAACCCCTCGGAAAGGCATAACGATAAGATAAGCCTCATCCCATTTTGGCATTCAGGGGTTTCTGACAAGGATAGATCACCAGTAGATTTTGTGTAGGCACGGAGAAGAATGATCCACCAAAAACCAGAGTCCACGGGTGCAACCCTCCCTATCGCACTCTCACCAAAATCCGCCATTAGAGTTTCAGTTTTCCTGGTTGGATTATTGTTCACCTTGAAGCTCGCTGGCATCACCCCTTCCCCAAGCTTGAATTGATCTATCTTCTTTTCCAAACTTTGAAGGTGAATTGTCTTCAAGAGAAAGTTCTTAACGATCTCATGCTCACCGGTCATTAGAAAAGCCAGAGCACTTGGCACAAAGTCACGGACAAACACCTGATCCAAGGGCCGAAACCACATATCTAAAGGCTCAACTATTACAGAGGTATTGGGTCGAACAGGCGTGTCTTCATTGGGTGTACCTGGTCGTAGTTAAGGACTTCCCCCGAGGCGTGATCGACGGCGGCTACTGTCCCCACCGGCTGCCCCCGGAAGAAGACGACGGACTTCCTGAGGGCATCCCATGCCTCATCGACCATCGGAGGCAGCTCGAACGGGCTCCAATCCGGCGAGGTCGGCGTGGGCACCGCGCCAAAGGAGTGCATGCTGCCGTAGCTGTCGACCTGCCTGAGATTACCGGTGATGGAGAGATCGCTGAGCGACCGTTCCTCGAACGACAGCCTCCGCTCGATCTTAAACCTCGGCCGATCGAGCTGCCTCGACGAGCGGTCGAAGTCGTCGGCCTCCGCCACGGAGGAGTGCGGCTCCACCTTCCAGACAACCGCCTCGTGCGCCCCGTCCACTGCTTCAGCCATTCTCGTGGCAAATCCTTATCAACTGAATCAGCAATCAACATTCAGACTCAAAAGGAGCTACATTTAATGGAACGGAAGCGAAATAATCGATCTAAAACAAACAAATTAACCAAGCTTAAGCACCATAATAGTATAAAATGAAGGGAATGAGGTCAGAAACCAAACAAGCTAAAATAAATGTGGGAAAAAGAGAAAATATTACATGAGTTCGAGGATGAGAGGGAGCACGAACGCTGGAGATCGAAGAGAGAATGAGATTAGAGCGGGTGGACGGTGTCACTTATATGGTCGATGGCCGGAGGGAGACCGAAATGGCAAGTCTGTGTCCGTTGCGCCTCCTCTTCTTCGTACTCGAGGAGGCCACCGGCTGCAGCCGGTGACTCCACGTAGTCCGCTGTTGGATTATCCGGTGCCACCGGCTTTGTACTTCTCGGAGAACTAAAAACCAAAACCATCTGCGGGCTCCACGCGAGACCCATGCCTTCCGTCCAACTACCACCAAGGTACGCGATGGGTCGTGATTCGGTTGGAAGTGAAGACAATCGTTGACCGGGACCCACATCTCATGAAAAGGTCACACGCTGACATGGACGAAGTGAGTCAATGGCACCCAGCGCTGTTAATCTCGCGTCAGGTTAATCGAACGGCCACGGTTCGCTTCGGGTGTGGCAGCACGAACACCGAGGCGTCGGGAGGCGGAAGTCACGCGACAAGAGGAACACGTGGTGAATACGGTGATGGGTGAAACCCTTATCCGAGAGTGGTGCTTCGAATTTGGCAGATTGTAACGGTGTGTTATAAGATTGCAAAGCTCGAATTCAATGAATCTTATATTACATATGAGATAGACTTCCAATGGGCGATGAATTATAGTAGCTCGATCCTACTCTGTGAATGGGATGTGTATCTCAAGTGATATCAGACGTCAAAAATATGGCAGTCAGTAAAACTCTGATGATATCAGAGAGAGAGAGAGACAAGGTTTGATGAGTCATAG